GTGGGGCAGGAGTGAGAATTGTCTAATGGTGTCTGAAAAGAGCAGAGCAGAAAATCCAGCAGAGTGGCAGGGCCAGGTCTTGTTTGCTGGGCTCAAGTTTTAAAATTGGGCTTCTTGGGGCTCCCCCCAGGGGAGAAGTATTCCATCCCCCCCAAATACACACACACACACACACACACACACACAGACACACACACACATTTCTAAATTCTTAGTGAACTGGGATGGGTCTGCTAAAGCTTTCTTTTTTACTTTTTTTCTTTTTTCTTTCTTTCTTTTCCTTCAAATCTTAGCTAAGAATTTGGGGCAGACCCGTCCTACCTGCAGAAGATGGCAGACTGTCAAAGAGGCCCTGATTATTTTCCACCTCCACTGGCAACCATTGCAAAGGTCTTTCACTCTTCCGCCCCCAACATCTGGTTCTTTTTTCTGGGGACTTCATACCCAGCATATCTAATACACATTCAATCTAGACTCATCGGGTGTTGCCTTTACAAAATTTATTATTGCAGTCCATATATCTTGTTCCCCCTCCTTTATTTAAGTAACAACGACATTGTGCAATGTTTTACAAAGACCGTCATAGAATTAACGCAATTCACCCAACACGCTCGCCCATATCAGGCCCCTTCGCTGTGGAAGCCTCGACTCAGTGACGTCATCAGACACGTCCACACCGCCAGCCCAAGCACCCACAAAATTCATCAGGCAGCGCCTCGGCAAGGGTGGGAGTGGGAAGGAGAGTGGGAAGGGGGTGGGGGAGGCCTCACAGCATTGAATCCTGAAGCTTCTTTAGCGCTCTTTTCTCTGTATTTTCTGTTGTTTTGGACTCACCCCTACACCAAGTATACAATGTATAACGAGGCGGTGGACAGACCAGCAGATAGACGTATCCATGTGCCTGGCCAGTCCGTACAAGTAGGGGCATGTGACCACCAGGAGAAGAGGATGACCCCCATTTTTTTTCATAGAGATGGTCGAAAAATTTAGGACTTGTGTATTTTTATTTCAAAAGATAGCTGGAGGAGGTGAAAGTGTAGGAAAGCAAAAGAGGAAAGAAATTGGAGACAAGAAAAAGCTTCTGGAATTGTCCCTGCCACCTTCACGGATCTGAACTTTCAGATTGGGATTGATGGGGGAGAGGAGTGAAAGGAGTGGGAGGCTTTCACTGGGAGCTGGGAAGGGGGTGGGGGTGGGAGCCATCCAGCTCTCGAGGAAGACATATCCATTCTGTGAACCGCGCAGGGACTTTGCGGCCTTACTTTTGCCACCTGCAGTTGCCAGCCCTGCACATAAATTCTCCTAATGCGTTTCCCCCTCCCAACCCCCCACCTGTTTGTCTCTATCTGTACCCCAACACTGCTTTTATGCTACCGAATCATGCTGGCGTGCGTGTGAGTGGTGGTGAGGGGTGTGACTGTAGAATAAATATGAGGGCCGTATTTGGTTTGAAAAAATGGACATTATATCAGCACATTCAGTGAGCTCTAGAACCTATCAGTGATGGCCCTTCTTCCTTGCTTTCTTTTCTCTTTCCTTCCTTTTTTCCTTCCTCGCCCTCTCCCTCTTCAAGCCTCAGTAGCCAGGCCTAGACTCGCAGTCGTTATACGCCCCAAAGCAGCAACCACAGCAGCGGCCTTAACACCGGTGGCGGCGGCGGCAGCGGCGGGGCCAAGTGGTGGCGC